ATGCCATCTCCTGCCTGAGACTGAACCACCTGCTCCACCCCAAGACCCATCCTGCTCCTGCAGCCCCATTTCTTGGTCCACCTGGGATGGCAGCTGGGCAGCCATACCAGGCCCTGTGCTCTGGAGGACAGCTCGAGGAGCCACATTCCGAACACCAGAAAACGCAAGGTCAAGGTCCACCTCACTTGTCAGTGCCTGCAGAGTCCCAGCCAGCCACCCTCAGCTCACTGTCTAAGAAGAAACCACATCTTTCTTTATCCCCCAGTGTGTGTAATGGCCCTTCACCCAGCCCACTGGCATGGAGAAGCGTGTCTGACTGGGGTGCGGCTGCCCCAAACTGGCCAGAGAAAGCCGATCTCCTTCACAGAAAGTAAAGTGGGCCCCGGCTGGAGCCCGTGCTGACCTAGCCACAGCTCTCCCAGAGGCAGCTGCTCAGGTCCAGGGAGCCTCAGCCATTGCCCGCCACAGGCTCCAGGTGCACGAACCCTAACCATAGGGGCCCTGCACCATACTGACTGTCCTGGTCCCAACGAGCAGAGCCACATGTTCAGGGCCACACAGCGACAGAGGGCCCGGAGAGTCCAATCCCCCCCTGCAGCCAGTGTGGTACCATAGCTCTAGACAGCACACAGTACCTCCTCGCCTGCCCAGGCAGCGACACTGTCAGTCAGGCCACAGGCCTCCAGCCTCGGGGCGGGCCTCCCTCCCACCCTACTCGCAGGAATGCAGCTCTGTCCCAGCATGCCAGGCCCGCGTCCAAGGGCATGCCTGGGGATGCTGAGTTGCACTGCCTCCCCCCAGGCCCACAGAAGGTAACAGCACAGGTGATGCAGCCGTCTTCCGTGGTTTTAAAAGCGGAAGAGCCCTTAACATTGATTCACAACCTCCTGCCAGACACACACTATGCCCATGGGACAGGGGATAGTGCCCAACAGTGCAGCTACAGTGGGCCCTGGGGACATCGCCTTTGGACTCCTGTAGCTGCCTCTCCTGGCTATCTATCTGTTGGGACAGGGCCACCTCAGCATCTCCAGGATTCCCCGGAACCCAGCCTCCACCCCAAGTCAGGCCTCTTCCTGCTGACAGAAGAACACTGCACACCCCGGCTCCAAAGGCCCTGAGACTCTCAGAGACCCCAGCCCCCAATGGCTCTGTGCTCCAAGTTCTAGGGCAGTATCAGACGAACAGGAGAATCCCTACAGGCTTCAGCCAAACTCAGGACACTTCTTGCTCCAGAGCAAACACTCAAAGAGGCTGGGCCCCGCACAGAAGCCTCCACTTGCCCTTCCCTCCTCAGCAGATACCTGCCCTCTAGGGACAGACTGCCTAGGCTCACAGCCTTGAGTGAAACGTAGCTTCTCTGCATCTCAGTTTCTCCAGCTACAATGAACACAAGAAGGTGGTGACCCGATGACTGGTGTGGACTATAGCAGTCAGAGGGCCGTAGGGAGGCTGCAGCAGCAGCAGCTCAGCTACAGGGGTGAGGCCCGGGGCAACCGTCCCACCACCCGCCTCCATGGGATTAAACTGGCTCATGGCTGTGACTCCTGTGCAAACGTATGGATGGGAACCTGGTGCCGAGGACCCCTCTCCTCTCTGTCTGAGCTGCTGGGCTTTCCTCAGTCACTCCTACCCATCCCTACCTCTGTCTCCCCATCCTCTGGAAGAGATTATAAGAGGGTGAAAGGGACGATGCAAAGGAGACAGAGCAGCTTCTCCGTCCAGCTCTGCCCCAGCCCTTCATGTGGGCGCTGAGCCTGCAGGACAAGAGGGACACCCAGGCGTTGGGAGCTGGGTTCAGGCCAAGTCCAGAGGCAAGGGCAGAGAAGGCTTCGATGCATCCGATGGTGAAAGCAGTGCAGGCTGAGCCAAGCTGGAGGCCCCAGGCAGCAGACTTGGGGCCCTCTGGGAGATGCAGTGCGGCCATTCCAGACCTCACCAGGACCAGGAGCAGAGCCCAGGTGGCTGTGGGAACAGCAGGGAGGCGATCCAAGCCTGAGAGAGGCAGAGAGGAGCTGAAGACACCAGCCAGCAAACACTTACAAAGTAAGCACTTCCTGTGTGACAGGCACCGTGCCCTGCCCTTGTCACACGGCAACTCATGGAACTGAACCTGCTGCATCCGCAAAATATACACACACCGCACAGACAAGATCCTGAGGTGGCAGGCACAGAGGCGGGGAGAGTATCCACACCAGTCTTCCCACTTTCGCTGGGAGCCGAGAGGTGCATTAGGACCCCGCCCCTGGCCTGAGGCATGCCCTCTAACCCTCACATCCCTACCCATGAGGACCACCCACTATGGCACCTACCTAAGCCCACCAGACTGGAACTGCCACCCCAGCACCCCTGTCCCCTTAAAGCTGCAGAGGACACAGTGTGAGATGTCCCACAGCCACTCAGGACAGTAAACACTACATGGCTGACCAAAGTCCATCCAATTCTCTTCCCAACCATGGCAGGGAGGGGGACCTGGGACAGATGGGACCCTTATTAATCTAGGCTTAATCACTAGCAAAATGTTAGGCAAAATAGGCCAGCAGGTACCCGCTCCCCCCCCACACACACACACACCCACGGTGTCAGCAGGACACAGACAAGGACAAGGACAAGGACATGGGCACACATACTCATCAAGTGCAAAGGCTACAGGGCCGGCACTGCCGCCACTGGCCCACCATGAGACCCACTGACCTGGGCCCAGCCAGCTAGCTTCCCTCCTTCAAAGACAGTATTATCTACAAGTGCTGCACACAAGTACAAGCAACTCCATTTGCAGCACAATTTGTTAATAACTGAATCCACTTTAGTTCAAGAAATAAAGTTTTAAAAGAATGAAGATGGTTCACCTCTCTAAGGACAAAAAAAAAAAAAAAAAAGGACCCAACAAATATTGTCTATTTAAATCTTGGTTTTTAAAATAAGAGTTAATATTTTCAAGTATGACACTGGCCAAAACTAAATAGGTTGACAGAGTCTGTGCTGGAACGGGTGTGAGTGAACTGGTGCCAGCTTTCTAGTAACATCTACTGAGACTGATGCACCTTCTTACGGCTTCTGCCGGGTCTTCCCACCTACAATGGGGGAAGCTGAAGTTCAGGACACTAGGCCCAAGTGTCCAAGGCCATATGACCAGTGGGTGCAGGAGCCAGAAGGTGGCATCAAACTAAGCAAGCAGGTGCCTGAAGAACACCTGCAGAGACTGACACACCTTCCTCTCGATTCCTCCAGGACCTACCGTCCAGACACACCCCACTAAACAGCCAAGGTTCTTGCATTGGCCAAAATGTTTATGTCCGACAGTAAATAGCTGACAACTGAAAGGTCCCTGAGTGAGAACTAGTTCCCTCTGGGACAGTCGGTCTGGTCTGTTTTTACAGCAGACACAAATGTGAGCTTGTGAACACAGAAGGGGACTGTGAGCCCCATCCAGGGAGACCAGAACGGAGCTGAAGATGCTCCCACTCCATATTCTCACAGTCACCTGGCCTCCCTCTATCATGAGTGCATCCCCCCCAATCACCCATACCAAGATGGGGCCCTTGCAGGAGGAGCCACATGTCACCTCTCTTGTATAGATCCAGTGCCAGCAGGGCTGGCTCAGAGGTGGCACCAATACCTGCTGACAGATAACAGGGTTGAGGGTCGGATGAGCTGCCACCTGCCTCCCCCAGCCCACATCTGTTGTTTACTGGTGCTTACACTTGGCACCTGCTCTGCCAGGCATGGACTTAAGCATTAGCATGGATTCATTCATTCTCTCCTCCCCACTTCAGAAGAGGACTCTACTGGTCTCCCCAGTGGGGTATGGAGGCTCTGAACAGTCCACGCACCTGCCTGAGGCCACTGGGAGCATTGGGGAAAACAGCTAGCATGGTGGATCCCAAAACCAAGGGCCAAGAGGCCACCAGGACAAGGGAAGAGCCAGGCTAGGCACCTGACACCATGCCCCGCCTCCTCAAATACCTTCTCGGTGGGCAATGTTGCAAAGGGAGAAGTTAAGACCCCTACCCACCACCACATCACCAGCAAGGGGGTAAAACATGGGTTAAAACCTGGGTGTTCCACCCAGAAGGCAACATCTCCCTCTCCACCCCCCCACAACAGGGCTGGGGAGTTAGGAAGGATGGGGGAGAAGCTGGTGTTTAAATCACTACGGAGAACTACTTCACGGAAGGACTGTCCAGATCTCCTGCTGCTGGCTCTCAGGCAGCCTGAGGGTCCCACCCCCTTATCCCGGAATGAAAACCACACAGAAGACACAACGCTCCCTCTGTGACAAATACCCACAGACCTGTCACCAGTCTGCAGGGAAAGGTCTGGGAGGGCGGCCAGGACAGGAAGCGGGCGGAAAAAGCACTGCATCCCAGATAAGTGACGGTGGGCAGGGGTAGGTATGATCAGAGCTGTGCCTGGGAGGGACAACGGGGGACCGACCCCAGCCTGCAGCAGTGACGGCCACACGCAAGGCAAGCTCCTTTCCCCGCCCTTTTCTGGCCTCCGAGAACTCACTGAAACTACTGAAGGCAGCTGCGCCCAGAGAGAAGTGGTCTGCCTGGAGCTGATGCAGGACAAGGCCTGGCTTTTCCCTGCATCCATCCCACGCCCCCATCCCCCTCAGCCGGGAAGCCAAACACCGCAAAGAACTCCACCCCACCGAGCACGAGGCCTGCCACCAGGAGCAGGCAGACCGGCGACACGGCCCCCCACAGACCTGGCCCGAGAAGGCCAGAGCTCTCTCGCACGCGCGTCGCCACCACACCTGGGGCCCGCGTCTCCCTCCCTGGGGCGGGGCCGAAGGGGGCACAGCGCCTCCAGGCCAGCTGTGCAAGCCAACACTGGACGCCCTGGGACTGCCCAGCTAGGTGGTCTGCCCAGCTCGGAGTCAAAAGTCCTCTCGGGGGTCGGCTGGGCCCGGATAAGGGATCGACTCAGGGGTCCCGGTCGGGGGCCAGCCGGAGACGCCGGAGGGCGTGGCGGCGGCCGCCTACGCTCCTCACCTCCTTGAGCTGCTCCATCTCGCTGCGGATGGCCTCGTAGTCCACCTCGAGCTCTTCGAACTGCAGCTTGAGCTGGTGCTTCTCCTCAAGCACCGCCAGCCCATATTCGGCCGCCTGGATCTTCTCGCGTGTGGTCTCGGCCAGCTCGTGCGACAGCCGCTTCACCTCGGAGCGCAGCCACTCGGGCTGCGCCTCCATCACCAGCCGCGCGTACTCCTCTTCCTCAGACGATGCCGACATGGTGGCGGCCCGGTTCCCGTCGCTCCCACCGGGGTTCAGGCCGGGTTCCAGTCCGCTTAGCCACCGCCCAGCCCGACGGCGCCTGGGCCGCCGCGCAGCCGCAATGCGCTCCCCGCCGAGCGGGGCACTGTGGGTGCAATAGTCCCGCCCGCGGGACTACAAGGCCCATTGAGCCACGGGCCCGCCCGCCCCAGCCTGTGATTGGCCGGATCCCGCGGGCGAGCCTTCCAATGCAATCGCCTCGTTCGCTGCCGCCCAGGGCATTGTGGGTGTCGTAGTCCTGCCCGCGCTCCAACTACAAGTCTCATCATGCCCCGCGCCCGCCCGCCCCCGATCGTGATAGGCCGGTGAGGCATCCATCGCAGAGCCGGAAGCACTGGTATTTTTCGGTGTTCGAGCTGTGGGCCCGTGAGGCAGAAAACCGGCGGTTAATTCGCGTGGGCCGCGAGGGTCGCGAGCCGATCTCGGATTCGCACCGGCCCACGTGGGGAGCCCGAGGGTCTGGAGGACTGTAACCCAGCACGTGTCGAGTGAGAGAAATGGTCAAGCCCGCGGTTTAAGGTTTCTAGTAAAGCGGACGACCAGACAGACATTCTGAGGGAAATGCGGCGTGCAAAGGCACGCCGATTGAGAGCCGCTAGCGCAAGGGGCGCTTTCGCCCCTCTCCGCCCCCACCCCCCACTTAATTACGAAATGCTCCCACGTGTTTCCTAAGAATTAGACATTTCCATGTGCAGTCCAGTGATCCGATTCAGAACGGCTGACTCTGACGCCGCCCTCAGTAGCGATGGTTCCAGTCTGAACACCTCTGGATCACGCCTCGTAAGGCTGTCGTGTCTCTTTATTCTGTCTCCATCTGAGAGACTTTCTTCCTCTTTGTCTTTGTGACCTTGACTTACTGAGGCGTGCTGGACAGAGATGTGCACACTGGTGTATCCCCATGGTTAGATCAGGGTGTGCACTTGGGCAGGAATGTCACGAGGTGGTGCTGAGCCTCAGCTCGCAATTGCATCACTCGTCTCGCTACTGGGTTTTCCCTTTTACCCTGTGAGAAGACACTTTGAGGCTGCAAATAATGCCATCGCTCCTCAAACTTTTAACCCACTAGTTTTCATTGATGTTACTTGTCCACATGAATTATTACCATACTATTTCTTTTCTATTTCCATCATTTCTCTGCTCACTAGCTTTGTATTCTAGAGAACATATTTCATTCATTAGCAGTATGGATCACTGGATTCTTATTTAGTGAATGAGTTATAATCTATTACTCTCCTTGTTTACTTAGATGCTCAAATGGCAGAATTAGCCAGTGGAGGCTTCTCCAAACTGGCTTCCATGTCCTTTCAATACCTCAAAATTTTTAGCACTTCCTTACTTTCTAGCCCAAGCTGTCTCAGAATCATCTTGTAGTCTGTGTCCCAGACCTAGAATTAGCCGTGGAGCCCTGATTCCTTTTAGTGGTTTAATATTTCATTTGTATAAGAATTTGTCATAATTTCACTTGTGAAATTAAAAAACAAAAATTAGGGCATTCAACCACAGTAGGAGTAGGACACCCAACTAGCCTGGTTGCCTGGGGCTGTCCTGGTTTTAGCACTGAGTCCCAAGTCCTGGGAAACTCAGGCCTGGGCACACCTTTCAGACTAAGTGGGAGAGATCCTAGGGAAAAGAAGGGAGAAGAAACAAGCCTTGTTTGAGCGAGCTTACCATAGACAGAAGGACTGATGCTCCAAGAATCAGCGGTTTGTCCATGGTTACACAGCCTTGGGGACAATGTCCCCTTCTGACTCAGGATGACCAGACTTAGAACCCCCACCCCCACTCTTACTTTATGCCTTCATGTGGGGCTGGCCTGAGGACAAAGAGGAGAAAGGCCATGGGAATATGGGGCAGGCATTGACCACGAAGATTTGAACTTGGAGACAGGGTGGTGGTAGAAGGGGAACAGGCAGGGACTTTTCTAGGTGCTGACAGAGGATCTATCACTGCCAGTGTGGGCTTCCTGCAGGAGGGACAGCTGTGCTGGCCAGCAAGGTTAGAGCCATGAGGGAGAAGCCATGACAGTGTTAGGGGGCAGGGCATCAGGGAAGGATGCCCTGAGAAGGTGACACCTGAGTAGAGACCCAAAGGATGCACAGTCAGGCTGTTGCAGTAAGGATAAGAGAAGCAGGGTCGCCCTTGTTGAGTTCCAACTGGGCCCCAACATGGATAGGTACATGACCTACATCATCTCACTGAGTTCTCGTAACACCCCAGGAGGTAGGAATCACTATTTTCTTTGACAAATAAGGAAACACACTCAGGGCAGAGTCCTCAGTATCACGCTCCAACTCCTCACATCCCTCCTCTGGCTTCTCAATCTGACAGCAAAGGATGGACCTGCCTCAGCCTCCTGCCCTCCCAACTGCTTCTTCCATGGCCCAAGCCCCTTGCCTCCTGCTTCGACTACTGCAGTCACCTTCCCTCTGTCCTTCCCCAGGTCCCCAACCTTTTCTCTCATGACAGCAGAGGGTTCTTAGACCCAAGGCAGGTCACACCCCATCTCCTCAAATCCCTTTGAGTACATTCAGGCTGCTATAAAAATAATACACACTGGGAGGCTTTTGAACAATAGACATTTATTTCTCATGGTTCTGAAGGCTGGAAGTCTGAGATTATTGTGCCATGAGATTCAGTGTGGTGAGAACCCACTTCTTGCTGTGTCCTCACATGCCAGGAGAAGTGAGGGAACTCCATTTGGAGTCTCTTTATAAGGTCACTAATCCCATCATGACCTAATCACTGCCCAAAGGCCCCACTTCCTAACAGCGTCACCTTGGATTTTAGGATTTAATCAATGAATTTGGGGAGGGGAGGGGGGGCAGGCACAAACCTTCAAACCATAGCCCCCTCCCAGAGGCAAGGCTACTTGTGGCCACCACCCCTTAGGCCGTGCCCAGCCTGAGGAGTGGCCCTCCCACCCTTGTTGCCCCCTGGCCTCTCCCACCTTCTGGGCTGTGCTCCCCTTCCTGGCTTCATTTCCCTCCATTTCATTCTGTATTCTGTAGCTTATTCACCTTTGCACATTTGTCCCCTCAGGAAAGTCAGCTCCAGGAGGGCAGGGGCCTTAATCAGGCCTGGCCCATACCAGGGGCTCCAGCCAGGGACCGTAGAGTCTCAGGGCTCAGCTGATAGAGACTGGGCTGTCATCACCATGCCCCGCTCCCTGGACCCCCACCCCTCACCAAGAAGGGAGCACAGGAGAACAGAGGCAAACTTGGCATAGGGGGATGCTAGGGACTGCCCACAGTGTTCCCCCAAGAACAACTGGGTGAGTCAGCCTGGGGGTAAAGGGAAGTGACATCCTCCCAGAGCCTTTGTAAGATGACTCCGGTCCCTCACTCCTCCTGACCTGGGTGAGGGCAGGATGATCATGTGCACAGGTGTCCAGGCTGGGGGCTGGCCTGGGTATGGGCATTGGCAGCTTTGCAGCTCCCTTCCTTGTTATTCCCTCAAGAGCTCTGAGTGCCCATGTGAGCTCCTCCTGGAATCCTGTCTCCTCTCTGCCCATGACCATCTGGCTGTGGGCTGAGTTGCAATGCCTCTCCTGTTAGGTGACAGCCTGCCCAGGTGTCCTTGGCCAGTTGCCAGCACAGTGAATGGCTTGGCGTCCCCCACATATTCATCCTGCATGCCATAGGATGAGCCTTTGGCCCAAATGTCATTCACTCAATAAACTCTGTGCCAGGCCTTGGGGTTCAGACACAATGATGATGGAGGGGAAGACCCCAGTGTACTTATGAGCATTTACCCTGCTCCAAGTCCAATCAAGCACTTTGCATGCACGTACCATCTCTCATAAGCTTCACAAGTTAAAAAGCAAGTATCACTGTTCTCATTTTATAGGTGAGGAAGCTGAGGCACAAAGAGGGTCACATACCTTATATGGGAGAAGCCCAGAATCTGAACCAGGTGTTTGTGAATCCAGAACCTGGCCCCCAGCCTTTTCTGGGGAAACAGGACACAGGCCTCAGGGGCTCACTTTGCAAGGGGAACAGATTTAACCAGCTAACTCAGCCAATGTACCCAGGGCACTCAGGAAACCTCAAGGGTTAGCACTGGCTCTGGAGGACTCAGAACACATCACAGAGTGGGAAGTGGGTGGCAGCGGGTGGGGTTCTGAAGGATTCTCAGATGTTCACTGGGCACAGAAGGTAGAGAAGAGTGTCCCAGAGAGGGAGAGGTGGAATCATGGACAAGCATGGCCTGCAGGAGGATGGGGAACGGGGTGAATTCAGGACATGTGTGCATGTGTGTCCGTGTGTATACATGTGCTTGTGTGCATGTGCACACGTGCATCAGGAGGTGATGAAGGGGAGCTATTGGCATCAGATGATTGTAAAACTCTGTCCTAGCCAAATACTTGCATCATCAATTTCATGCTGACCAGATCTACTTGGGGTGTGTTACCTTTCAGTTCTCTGGAAGAAGGAAGGACTGCTGAAATAAAGTTTGAGGTGAAAGATGTTTATTAGGGATCAAGGCCTGTGGAAGGAAAGAGAAAGCAGCTAGATGTGGCAGCAGAAGAAGCTGAACTTCACAGTGAACTTGACCAAGGCTCACCAGCCCTATTCAGAGTTCACACCTGCCATGCAGGGGCTGCAGTCAGCTTACTGGGGCAGGTTCTGGAGTAGTGATTGTTACAGCTTAGCACAATGATTTCAAGGTGCATCCATGGTATAGCATGTATCAGAACTTCATTCCATTTTATGGCTGAATAATATTCCACTGTGTGAACAGACCACGTTTTGTTTATTCATGCATCTGCTGGTGGACACTTGGGTTGTTTGCACCCTTGGGTTATTATGAATAATGCTGCTATACACATTGGTGTACAAATATCTGTTTGAGTCCCTGCTTTCAATATTTTTTTTGGTTTTTAATTTTTTATTTCATAGGTTTAATGTGTAATCTTTACATTATTATTCAGTTTAAAACATTCACTTCTGTTTGGGTTCTCAGTTCACACATTGATTATTGAGAAGTTTGTTGCCTTGTTTCCAAAACATAGGCATATAATTATCTTTGACTGCAGAATTAGCTGATTCCCAGAGTCTCCCAAGTGCTCCTGATGG